CACATTTTTTCGAAATATCCTGGATGTTTCCATTCAAATTTATCACTAACTTCTGATTCAGTCTCTGAACTTTCCTCTTCGGAAATAGTCTTTGGATGAATTATTTGTAACTTATTGTTTTTCAATGTATATATTGGTTCAATATCAACATGCTCAATGATCTCATCAGCCATTTTCCTTGCTTTACTTATGGTTTCTTCTAGTGTACTATTTTCTATCAGTTCTCGGAAGGGTAGTTCTCGGAAGGTGTAGAGAATTCGTTTAAAAAAAGACTGACATTATGTGTTGGAGAAAATGATGGTCATTTTAAAGATCTTTTGGAGGTGTTATTGTTCACATTGAAAAAAATTTGAGTAAGTGAACATAAATAAATGAATTCTTTGTGGTTACAATTAATAAAACTGGGTATAATTTGTAAAACATCTGCTTTTCTGCTAATATACCTCCGATGAAAAATGTAGTGAAATATTGAAATACGTCATGCAAATGAACAAATACAGAGTGTTTCATTTGAAAAAGATGAATTGGGCCTGTTTGAAAATGAATGAAACTCGACCGGTTTTACCGAGCACCCTATATATTGTTTCCAAAGGTAGAGATTTCCGAAATTATCATAGTGATGTTGACTAAGTATTCCTAAAAAAATCCACTCAATTGCTGTTGACATGCGGGTGGTGAATTAAAAAAATATTGTCTGCATAATAGTTTTTTCTGGAATAACTTGGCAATGCCGCAATAGAAATTCGAAAACAGAAATTCCTTAGATAGCTAGAAAAATATGGAATCGAATGACATATTCATATACTGGGTGTTCCATTTGAAAAAATATAACTTTGGTTGGCCGCGCTCGGCTGAATCACCCAGTATGCGAAAAACAATTTTAAAAGATAGTTGTCATCGATATGACTACAAAAAAATGAGCAATTCAAAAAATTGTTTTCCTTGATAGCAATGGACCTAGGGATTCTTGTTCACTCACCCTGTACACCGTTCGGAAATTAATAATTTTGACAACTCAAATCCAAGTTTCTCGCCATGCACCAATTTTTATGAAGAATAATATTTTCTGACAAATGGATAATACAAAAATTCGCATATGGTGCAAACTTTTTGAAAATCACTGTATATCCAAGTATATTAGAGAAATGCTGAAGAGAAATGTCGGTACTTACAGTTTATTGTAATTTTCAATATGAAAGGTTTATAAAACTGGAAAACGTGTCTCAGTTTTGTAAACCTTTCTAGTGAAAATCACAGGACCTAAACTGTTTTAATAAGTTTATTAAGTGGATTTCCATCAAATCAGTTAGTTTGATTCAGTCAAAAATATCAGTTTTCAGATGTACACAAATTACAAATTAGCATTACATGTACTGAAAAATAAATTTATAACTAGTTCAGAATTCTATTTTTGAAGTCGATAAAACTCATACAATACCAGTGGATATTAAAAAATCAGATTAGATTATGATTCAAGAGCATTAACAGAAACTTAAGGCGCCACTATGATCAAATTGAGAAGGAAATGCGGGCAGTCTGATTTGGTCTAGAAATATTTTCAGAAAAAAGTTACATAGAAAGTGATCATTAGCTTGAAATCATAGAAATCTTGTTCAAATTGAAAAGGGTATATTTGTAGAAGATATTAGTTTTTGGGAAAAACATTTTTCGGAAGTATTCTGATTCATAAGTATCAGTACCACTGAAACACCTGGAATTAGATATGTTGTGATCTTTATGATTGTGACGGTGAACAATTTCCCATCTTCATTGACTACTATACTGATTATCAACCACTTTTGTCGATATTTTAAAAGCTATTGAATAAATATCCAGGACGTCTCCAAATAATATTTTAACAGGTTCAGAAGTATGAGACTAATCTTAGGTATATACCAGGAAAACATTTTATGTGCCAGAGCATATATAAAAATAATGGTATAAAATATTTTTGACTATGAGATAAATGCTCAAGTTTCACTTATCAATTTTGAAGGTCATATAACATCATAAAAATTTAAAAAACTTAGATGAAAGACTAACGATGACATTGAACTTAATTATCTTGAAGACATAATAAATAACGATGACCAAATAATAACAAAAAATTAAATGACAGAATTGAAGTTTCTTCCAAATCTAGAGGTGAACTCACTGCAGTGAATGATATAATATTCAAAAGCCAAACTATACTGAAATTTTTCCAGTTGGATGTTGCTCAGAAGTATTGTAATTCACAGGTGTCAGTACCACTTTCATCACATGAAATTCTTGAAATAAAAATAATAAGATGTAATATTTTTGAATTTCTCATCCTGTCAAACTACTATTTAAAATACATAGAAATCAAAAAATTGAATAGACACTACTAGTCATAATGTTATAGATAAAATGAAGTAAATTTTCGCCAGGTACGTATTCCCAAAAAGACTCATTTCTGATGGAGGTCCATCCACAGTCGAATGGATTAGCTGAAAATAATGTTCAGTTGAACTAATTTTCAAGGAAATATTTCTTTAATCTTCCGCAAGACATTCAATTATTTTTAGAAAAACTTTCAAAACCCCCTGTCATCATGTGATGATACAAATAAAAAATGTAACAAATAGTGGACATAACACTCCAAAAAGTGGGGCAAACCGCAGACACGTATTTCTGGCAAGGTCAAGCAAGGTCAACAAACTTCTGAACACGTAACAGCATACCTTGATAATGACAAATGAGATTTTGTCGAAACGTCGGTGAAATTAGGGATAATATCACATACACGGATCAAATACCCGGAAAAACCAGTTCAGCATATTCCTATCCGTGAAAACTTCAGATTTCATATTCGATACCTTAACGGGGAGATGAGGTCAACTAAGAAGAAGATAAAGTCCGTGATAACGGTAGATGCCAGCGAATTACTTAAAAGTTCACTCATGCACCTCTTTATAAATTCGTACAAATTGCAGCCTTCTATTTTAGACATCTCATTACACTGAAAGAAAAAAGTGAGAACGAAAAATCAGTTTTTTATGTGCACTCACTGCTGCTCTGAAATTATTGTTTTCTTTCAAATATTCCTCAATGGTATTCAGATCTTTAGCATTGTTCAGAGGAAAAAATTGAAATTTAGTGAAAAGGGAATCAATCGCTTTTGACAAATTACGACCACGCTCATCATTGGTTCCTAGGTTCTCCAGTTTTGAACTGATATCAGTCAAAATGCTACTGATGAAATAGTATTGTTTGCTGATTTTTTTCATAGTTTCATCTAAAAAATACAAGAAACAATTAAAAAAAAGCAAAACATATTTTCATTTATTAGTTATTTGAGGACTGATCAATAAGTTTACTAAAGAAGATGCTCACCAAGATTTTGCTTCCCATGTATTGGACAGCAATGGCAATAGTTCTCTTTTTCATTGGCCAAATCACCAGGTGATGTCGGTGGTGGTGTAAACCAAAGTTGTTTAATGTAAGCATGCTTATTTCATTGAATATTACTGATTTTCCATATTATACATATCCATAATTTTCTTGGAGAAATTGTACAAAACCACTGCTACTATTATTATTTGAAGATAGATCAATATATGGCAAGGGTTATGACAATTTATTCAAAAATAAGCACTTCCCAAAAGTGCTATTCCTAGATATTTTTTTGGGAAGATATACATATTATTGGAGTTGGTACCATACTTTTCAGTAATGGAGAAATCGTGATATTATCGAAAAAGTGTCATGTCTTTTAAAGCAAATTAGGCATGCATTTCCGGAATTGAGGTTCAACTTTTTTATTCAAACTGAATTCTAAATTCTACACAAGAATTCGATTTCGATGGGTTTCCCTCGTTTGTATTATCAGATCAATCGATTATCATATTTTGCTTATATTTGAATCAAACTCATCATTTGAATCAAACTCATCAGTGTTGCGTGGAGTATCTTCATCCCTTGTTTTAGATGGAGGAGGAGGTAATTTACTGTACGTTTCATCTTGTTCACTTTCTTCAGAGGACGAAATTTTATTCTTTTTTTTTCTGGACTTTCAATCTTCCTCATTCGAGTCGCTACTGTATTCCGCAACCTTTGGTTTGTTTCGAGCTTCCAGGTAATTATCAAAAAAAAAAGAAAATATAATAGAATACAATTAATTTACTAATCAAAAATTAGTCATTCACAATGTATGAAACTTATCCTGGAGTTATAGAATCCCTGATAAAATAATTTACTTACTGTATGTTCCATTACGGAAAATGGATATTTTGTGGCTAGGCTAACATGTATTCATGTCCTCATAAGTTCTGATGGTATTCATTACTTTTTCTCTAGGGTAGGGTGACCAGACACAATGAGTTTTTCCTATTAACCAATAATTCTCTTCTAAGAATTTACCTACCGTCCATGTTTTATCTATCTTTGGAAACTGCAATCTGCAATATGGTGAATCAAATTATTGAAAAATTTTAATAACACACTCTTCCACTACAAATTAGTACCTGAAATACTTTCAAAACCACAAACAAATCAGGAGAAAGTATCTTCCCTATATGCAATAAACTATAATTTACATTTATTACAAAGTTAGCAAAAATCAAAAATCAAATAACAGTTTTGGAAAGTTCCATATATTTGAAGCTGATAATAATAATAATGAATGGAGATGAAAGAAATATATTACTTTCATTCAATTCAGGAAAAAATTATAGCAAATATAGTATTGGAATAATTACACTCTTATGTTCAATTGGCAATATCATACATTTATGAACTATAGCACTTATTTTTCTCTGTCGAAGTGAACTCATTTCATGAGTTGAATCCAAATAGATACCTAATTCTGATGATTTATGAAGTGAAATATAGAAATCTGTTAATTTCAAAAACTTCTGGACAAGAATAATTTTAAAATGGTAATAAATGAAATAGATGTGATTTGTCACACATTTATGAACTATATCACTTATTTTTCTCGGTTGAAGTGAACTCATTTCATGAGTTCATGAGAATCCAAATAGATACCTAATTCTGATGATTTACAAGGTGAAATATAGAAATCTGTTGAATTCAAAAACTTCTGGACAAGAATAATTACTTGTAAGTCCACAGTTACAATATTTTTAATAATCACAATACTATTATCTAAAAGGCAACAACAATTATCAGCTTCAGAAATGCCCAGTAAACATTTTTTTTTCAAATAAATTTTTCTAAATTGCTTCAAAATGTTCAGACCTGGCAATAATGGACCACTGAAATGTTCAATTTGTGGACTCTCAACATTCCCCTTGATATTAGATGTTAGAAGTCTATCCAAATCCAAGATAGTAGACGTTTCATTCAATGAGTGTCTCTCATTCAACCTAGATATAATTTGTTTTAAGGGTTTTTCACTTTTCCGTATCATCTTCTTGAAAGTCTGCATGTGATTTTCAAAAGGAAATGCACTGAATCGATCAAAATTTCCAAAATTTGTAACGTCATCAGAAATATGCAGTAAATTATGAGCATTATGTGAAACATGTTGTTTTCCATACAAAATTATGAATGTTTCAACAAAATATTTCAGTAATGACTTGGCATATTCAATATTTTCCTGATAGTTTGATGTTGAAAGAAGAGTCATTGCAACGTGAAGACACAAAAAAATTTTATATTTATCTGAATTCACTTTATTTTTCAGAACCACTGGGCCTGTATAAAATAGAAACAAGCGGAATTCAGTTACTTTCCAACAGTTTGCCCATTTCAAAGCTCTTGGCTTTCTAGAAAACTCATAAGGTATATAGGGAATCAACCGAAGAAGTGAATTTGAAATATCTGATATTTCTTGGAATGAAAATTTATCAGGTGGTTTTCCATTCATCCATATATTTACAATCATTTTTTTCGAACATGAAAAGTAGCCTGTATGCCCTGTGGTATATTTTATTAAAGCTTTTGCAGGAACATCACATATGAACATTTTTATTTTAACTTCATATATTTTATCATTGTAAATAAATCCATTCGCTATTAGATTTTTAGCTTCATCAACAAATTCTCGTAAAAAATCATTAGCAGCGGCAGGTTTTTCATTTCCATGATATATTCCTATTGTTTCAACATTATTTTTATTTGTATATAAACTGCACAGTATGGGATATAACTGACCTCCTGAACTTTTTGAAATAGGAAAGCCATCAATATTAATGCATACTTCAATAGTAGAATCAGATTGTGAAATATTATTTGTAGAATAATTCATTAGTTTTTCTAAGCAGTTTTTTAATCCAATATGAAAGTATACTCCAGGAGCAATTACAGTTGGAAAGACTTTTCGAGGAGTTTTCAATAGTGTTCTAGCATCTTTTGGTAAACGGGAAAAATGTGGTTGTAGAAGTTTCAATAAATCATTGACAGCATGATGAGGAACATTATGTTGTAATGCCCACATTGCCAGTTGTTGGGTAGTAAGTGAGGTTTCATCAACTTTTTTATGTTTAGAAGGATCATGTGAGCTCATATTTAAAAATAATGCTTGATCTTGATCATCAGATTTGTTCAGTTCCTCCTCAAAACTATTATTTATGATTCCCGCAAGCAATGAAATGTTATACTCCTGTGAATCAGAATTAGAAGTTTCTACAAAGGAGTCATTGTTTATGGAAATACACATTTCTGAATCATTATGAAATAAGTTTGATCTACAGGAAGATTGCTCAAGCTTATATTCCTCAAATGAAGAATCATCTTCATTCAGTTGCATTCGNTATATATATAATTATTTTACTTACACATCAAAAGGTCAGCTAATTTTAATACTACGAATTTCAGTTTGTTTTTCCTTCCGTGGTATTGTACAAACTGCAGCCTCCTATTTTAGACATTTCATTACACTAAAAGAAAAAAGTGAGATTCTTGCAAACAAAATATCAGTATTTTTATGTACACTCACAGCTGTTCTGAAATTATTGTTTTCTTTCGAATACTCCTCAATGGTATTCAGATCTTCAGCATTGTTCATAGGAAAAAATTGAAATTTAGTGAAAAGGGAATCAATCTCTTCTGAGGAATTACGACCACGCTCATCATTGGTTCTGAGGTTCTCCAGTTTTGAACTGATATCAGTCAAAATGCTACTGATGATACAAAAAAATAAAAAAAAACAAAACATTTTTTCATCTATTAGTTATTCAAAGACTGATCAATAAGTTCACTAAAGAAGCTGCTCACCAATATTTTGCTTCCCATGAATTGGACAGCAATGGCAACAGTTCTCTTTTTCATTGGCCAAATCACCAGGTGATTTTGGGGGTGCTGTAAACCAAAGTTATTTAATGTAAGCATGCTTAGTTCATTGAATATCACTGATTTTCCATAGTATTCATATCCATAATTTTCTTGGAAAAATTGTACAAAACCACTACTGCTATTATTATTTGAAGATAGACCAATATATGGCAAGGGCCATGACAATTTATTCAAAAAGGAGCACTTCCCTGAAGTGCTATTCCTAGATACTTTTTTGGGAAGATAGACATATTATTGCAGTAGGTACCATACTTTTCAGTAATGGAGAAATCATCGTGGTATTATCGAAAAGGTGTCATGTCTTTTGAAGCAAATAAGGCATGCATTTCCAGAATTGAGGTTCAACTTTTTTATTCAAACTGAATACTAAATTCTACACAAGAATTAGATTCCAATGGGTTCCCCTCATTTGTATTATCAGATCAATTTCATATTATCATATTTTGCTTATATTTCAATAATTCTCTCAACATCTGTTTTAGTTCAGAAAAATTACATCACTACAGAATCTAAAATTTAAAAAAAATTGAAAATTATTCACCTTCATTCATTGGAAATGATAGAGCATTGGAATCAAACTCATCAGTGTTGGGTTATCCCTTGTTTTCGATGGAGGAGGAGGTAACTTACTGTACGTTTCATCTTCTTCACTTTCGTCAGAGGACGAAATTTTATTATTTTTTTTTCCTGTATTTTCTGGACTTTGAATCTTCCTCATTCAAGTCGCTACTGTATTCCGCAACCTTTGTTTTGCTTCGAGCTTCCAGGTAATTATCTAAAAAAAATGAAAATATAATAGAATACAATTAATTTGCTAATCAAAGATTAGTCATACACCATGTATAGAATCCGTGACAGAATAATCTACTTACTGTATGTTCCATTACGGAAAATGGATATTTTGTGGCTAGGCCAACATGTCCTCATAAGTTCGGATGGAATTTATTACTTTTTCTATAGGGTAGGGTGGCCAGACACAATGAGTGTTTCCAATTAACCAGTGTGTGGGGACTGCTTCCACAGAATTTTCTTCTAAGAATTTAACTACCGTCCGTGTTTTATCCATCTTTGGAAACTCCAATCTGCAATTTTAAGGATATATTCATTGTATTGCCAAGATTCATAATTGCATTCATATTTTGTAGTTGCATGCCAAAAAAAGAGATTTTGCTCTGTCATTACCTTATCTAATTTCTTGGTCTGTCAATATATTACAAAATATAAGGAATGACCGATATGATTTGAAATAATTGGTCTTATTTTATTACAAAAATTAAGAAAATGGAATTACCGACGAAAAAAAAAGAAGGTATAAACAAAAATGTGAACTCATTCAGCTTTTACTTTTTCGATTGACAACTTGTTTATTTTGTGGAAATTCATGTTCACTGAGGATACACTATAAAAACACACTTTTGTCTATTTCCCATGATAAATTTATATTTGTTGACTAGTTTCGGTTATTACACCATTTTCAAAACAAACCGAAACTAGTAAACAAATATAAAATTCATCGTGGAAAATAGACAGAAGTGTGTTTCTATAGTGTATCCTCATTCAGTTTTTATTAGATACTTTCATGAAAATACAATTATTGGAGATGCGTGGACGAATTTTTTTTCATTATTCCTTGGCTGCCTGACAGCAGTAGCCGCTACTCCTTCAACATTTCTGTGTAACAATATGATCGCCGGAGCTCCAAATCCACCAGCTCGCAGCTAGACTTTTCTTGGCATACAAAAACCCTTGCTTCGTTCTCGCACCATCTACGTAGTGTGGCTTCTGGGTTCCCAAGGCTTTTTGCAACCGAAGTTTCTGTCTCCCAATTTTTAACCCTGTTCTCCCACTTCTAGGAAATCAAATAGATATTACATATGAAGACTAATTTCCGGTTTTCTGACCGTGATCTGCAGATAGATTTATACTTACAAAACAAAGTTTGCTCTGTA